TTCGAAAACCTCGCCCCTAGGTTAGCCCGGTTATCGGACAACCTAAAGGCGTTGTAACCACCTATAAAAACGCGAAAAATAAAAGGGTCGAAAAACCATCGCGTCGCTCCGACCGCCTTGTCTTTTCAGACGGCGGCGACACCTAACTAAAGAGGAGATCTATTTCGTACGTCCACTAAAATGAAGTATCTCTTGTAGCACTGTAGTGGTGTCCGATCAAGTCCTCTACTTAGTACTTGCAGTGATCGTATTTAAACTTTACTTGGAGATGATACCAAGGATGAGTTGTGTTCAACGTCACCTATGCAAACATTTCATAAAAACAATACATGCACAGAAAGGGTAAGACAACTTTATATTCACTTAGAGCATGCAAATAACATTAAGTTAATTAGAAATTACATGTACAAACATACTAGCAATCAGCATACAAATGATATGATATTATGAATGCAATGTATCCACTAATTTTTTCTAGGACACATCCTAGTATGAAGACCATGGGGATCCCAAAACCACTTTCTCTTTTTTTTTGAGAAGGATCAGGAGTTTCACTGGAACCTCTCACCGCCTTGCGGTAGTATACTCATAATTATGTGTCCAGCTCAACTGATCATGAGAAACCCTGGGGCTTTACTCAGAATAATCAAGCTTGGTAATGAGAGTCTCACAGCTTAGGTAGCGAGCCTAAGCCACATATGAGCTCGATCAAACTCAATCATCCCCGAGGTTAGCATGGAACCGACCCTGATTTTCCATATCTTCCTCATACACTCAATTTCTGACTCATGAACATGATGCATGACTTATCATAACTTCTTCACACTCTTTCAACTGTGTTTCAACTCATTATATTTAAATCACATCTTAACTTCTTCAAAATAATACTAGGTTATTTCTTAAAAAAAATCAGACAGAGTCTCCCCTATAAATTGGACATTCCCAAAAAATTTTAACACCTGCAAAATAATCAAAAACAGCCCAGAACACTTCTACTTTTCACCAAACCATCCTTCCACCTCATCATATTCATCATCACTCAAAATCATAATTTTCTCAATTTTAATTTATTTTTCTTAAATAATAATAATAATTGCAAATAATTTCCTCAAAATTATTAAAAATTCATTTTCACTTACAATTAATTGTTTTCTCCTAAATCAAAATTATTCCAATACTTTTGAAAAATATTTATTAATTAAATAAAAATATAAAAATTCACTTCATAATTAAATTACAAAATTCAGTTTAATATATCTAAAAAATTAATTTTCTTTCTCACATAGTTCATTTCTCACACCTTTCCTCCTTTCCACCAAATTATACCATGCAATTCTACATGTTAATCCATCTTAACAAAAACATTCCACAATAATTTTCTACTTATCATGCTTCATAACATACATACAATATATCTCAATAATCAATTTAAAACAATTATCATTGTCGCCGCCGTCAAAACGAGGGCGGTCGGAGCGACGCGATGGTTTCGACTTTTCTAGATTTTCGCGATTTGGTGTGGTTACAACGCCTTTAGGTTGTCCGATAACCGAGCTGAACCTAGAGGCGAGGTTTTCGAAAAGGCGTTCTTGGGTTGTCCGATAATCGGGCTAACCCAAGGACTGTTTTTCAAGGGTTCTGTGGAATCGCCACCGATGTTTTTACCGGAAACATCGGAAAAGGGTTTTAAAAGACGTTGGTTTTCGAAAAACTAACTTTGGTCATTAGAACCAGAGTTGGGTAAGGGAGTTAGTTACGTGTAAGGGAAGTGTTAGTTCCCTTACGACGCCCCTTTCGGGTTCCCTATGATAGGCTAGCTATTTTAAAATAATTAAACCTGATGAAAATACGCTTTTACCCTTTTATTTTGTGGAATTTAAATTTATGACTACATGGCCCTAATGTCTATTGCGTAATTTTAAAATAAGGTAGTAAAAGATAGAGAGAGAGAGAGAGTAGAAACCTTCGAAGCAAGATTTTCTATTAACTTTTGCAAATTAGGGTGCTTTTTGGCAACCTTTCACTCTTGTACAGCGCCGAAACCTCTCAAAAATGCTATAAAAACCTCTACAGACACTCAGAAGCTCCGGAAATGCGTCGGAGGGATTCTAGAGAGAGAATCTAGTGATGTGACTAGAGAGAGAATGAGAGAGGTGTGTGGAATGAGGGGAATGGAGCCCCCTATTTATAGGGATTCGCGCCTATTAGGTCGAGACGCCGTCTCGTCTGACAAGGTCGAGACAACCGTCTCGACATTCCAGACCGTCGTCTCGCCTTGCAGGAATGGCGAGACGGCGGTCTCGCCACTTACGCTAGGCGAGACGGCAGTCTCGACCCTAAAAGGCGAAAATCCTTATTTTTGTGCCAAAAATCTCTCCTATCCTAGTATGGGGCCTAATAGTCTCTCCTAGTGGCTTCTTAGGCTTCGCCCATCTTTGAAAAGGAGGTCTTCTGATCTTTATTGTGAGGCCGGGCAAGATTTGGGGTCTACAGCTGCCCCCCATTTACCTGACTAGTCGGCTGTCGGTTTGTTGTGCCAGACAGATCTACAGGAAGGTAAAGGAGTTGACCCTCTTGCCCGGTTACCCTTCGGATGTTCTGTCTTGCAACGGTTGATCTTCTGTAGAAAACTTGTGTTTGTGCACTTCTGGGATACTCCTTCTAACGGTAGCTGATCCCTTCAGTGGACACGTGGTAGAACCTCAGGATACTCCTTCTAACGGTAGCCGATCCTTCGGTTGATGGATATAAACCCCCCATCAGGCTGGTAGTTACAGTCTGCTGTGTGAGACTGGATGGGTATGAACCCCCCATCAGGCTGGTACAGTCCGCTGTGTAGGACTGGTGGTAGTTGGCGGTTTACTGTTCAGGTGGCTCATGCGCCGAGCGTTGAGATATACTTTTTGTTGGTCTTCTTTGGAGATGTTGTTGTCCGGTCTGCGCCGGGGATTTTGTGGGTGCTCATCCAGTTTGCTTGTTTGCTGGGGATTCTTTATTTTTGATCTTTTTGTGGTGATCACTCGACTCTTGCTGGCTGGTCGGGCAATTTTTGTTTGTTGTTCGACTCTGGCCTGGTAGTCGAAACTTTGTTGGTTGAGGTGATGGCTTGTCTTAATCCTGCCTTTTTCTCGCGGTTTTATCTCTTTTTTCTCGCGATTTTGGATTTGGCTTTTTCTTGAGCGTACGTCTTTTTTACTTTAAGTTTCTTTTGTTTACGCTGACTTTTGGAGAGGATGGCAAAGAATGCATGAAATAAAATTTTTATTCATAAGGAAAATTTTATTACAGCCATTTATTTTTACAAGTACTGTCCCTAAGGGCTATCTTCTGGAGACGATCCGGGGTAGGGGAATTGCTGGTATATATGTTCCCGGAATTCTGCTTGTTCCCGGGCTTCATCACGGTATTCTTGTTGGAAGGTTGTCCAGTCTTGCCGCATCCCCTGCTGATATTGGTACATCATCTCCAGCCGGGTGTCAAAGGCTTCCTGCCTTAGGGACAGTTGTTCTTGCCGCACAAACATCTGGTCGAATTGCTGGCGCAGATCATTCATGTTGCGATTTAGGCCAGCGAAGTCGTCTGTGTATTGTGCGGGGTGTTGCTGAGCCTGTTGGAAATCGGGAGGTGTGGGGAGATTGTGCATTGCCACGATATCCTGGAGGTCCATGCTGACCAGGATCGACCCGTTGATTGACTCGGATCGGAGGCTGGGGGCTAGTTCCTCCCTGCCAGGGCACCCCCATTTTTTCTGCCAGGGGAGTGATAAGAGGAGCCATGAGGACGGCTCCCACTGGTCTGCTCCCGAAGTCCTTAAGGGCCCTTAGGAAGAAGTAGTCAGGGTTGCACCGCCGCCTCTGGCTCATGCAATAAAGTACAAAGAGGTCTGGGAGGGTTACCTTACCCTGACTCTCCTTCCTCCCATGGACAGTCCCAGCCAGCAGCTTGTGGCAAATGCGGAGGGCTGGGGGGAGTGCGGAGCCCTTCATCAGCGTGGGCAGCGTGGGCGCCCTGGTGACTCCTGCCACATTTCGGCGGCGGTGAGGCTAGCGGGGCGTGAACAGATAGCCTCTCGGTATCCCCGAGTGAGCACATCCTCGGGCCGGACGAATCCAATGCTCACATTGAATTCGTCGAGGGTGGTAGTCTGGTATTCCCCACCCATAAAGTAATTCACCATCTTGGTGGGTGGCAGGCCCGGGACCATGGAGGGAGCCTCGGCGTAGGAGATGGAGGCCAAGAACTCCAGTACTGCTTGAGGGTACACGTGGGTAGGTGGAGGCTGCAGTAAGAATCCCCACCCAATACTATCTATGTGGGCCCGAACATCATCCTCCCACCCGAACTCGGCGAGGATGCTGAAGTCGAGCCTGAACATGGGGTGCCATGAATAATCCCGGATGTGCTCGAGGCAGGCCCGGTGCTGTGGCGAAAGCTGAGTGGGGTCTTGAGGGGCCGATGCCGAGGAACTGCTAGCACCGGCAGTGCCTCTCCTCTTCCTTGAGGTGTTTCCACGGAACATACTGGGCAGGAAGTGTTTGGAAGTGAAAGATCTGAAAGTTGGAGGTTCTGGAGGCAAGGGGAGTTGTGAGGATCCCCCAAGGCGTCACCCCTATATATAGGGGGAAAATTTGACTCGAGACCGCCGTCTGGGAAGTCGAGACGGCGGTCTCGATTTTCTGCAGGTCGAGACGGCCGTCTGGGATCTCAAGACGACGGTCTCGACTTTGGGTTCAAACGAGACAGCGGTCTCGTCGAGCGAGATGGCGGTCTCGTTTTCGCCTAAGTCGGGACGACGGTCTCGTTGGTCGAGACAGCGGTCTCGATTTGCCGAGGTCCGAGACGGCGGTCTGGAAAGTCCAGACGGCGGTCTCGATTTTTTGGGTTTTTTTTTTTAATGTAAAATAGGACCTGGTTCAAAAACATATTATGCATGCAATGTTTTTATGTTTGATGTCCTATGATACCTATTTCAGTTAATTTTTCAGAAGGATTTAACTGACGTGTCTCGTTGCGCCGAATGCCCTCTGATCTGCCGTGTTTGTACTTGGCTGTACCATGCCGGACTTCTTGTGACCGAAGGATAACTTGTTATTCCTTTCTCTTCTTTTTTCCCTTTTTCTTTCTTTTTGTAGAGCATTCTTTGCCATGTAGTGTCTCTTTTTCCCCGCTCTAGGGGTTTCAATCCTCTTGTTGACTATGCGCCTCCATATTCCCAAATTAATTATTAGAATATTGTTGTGAAGGTCAAGAGAAAAGAAGTAAGGAGGTAAAATCAATGGTTTGTGTTTTAGAAGGTTGATTTTTATTTAGAAAGAGGTTTTTGTAAGAATGGTTGGCTATGTTAGAAAAAGAGGCTAAGATCAAGAGGGGGGGTGAATTGATCTTTGTAAGATTTTCGCAATTAACAGATTATCTATTTCAAAAATTAAGATTTCATATCTGTTCTTGAATCACACAGCAAGCAATCAAAAAATAAATGCAGCAACAGAATTAAAGAAAAGAAAGGTTTAGAAAGATATCACCAAGGTTTATACTGGTTCACCCAATCCCAGGGCTACGTCCAGTCTCCAGCCAAATTCCAGCTGGGTTCCACTAGATTGAATGTTTTACAGATTACAACCTTAACCTTACACTCAATCTACCACAAGAACCAAAATTCCAGTTCTCGCACCTAACCTTTCACCAAGAACCAAATTCCAGTTCTTGACAACCTCTACAACCAAATTCCAGATGCAGAGAAACCAGTGCCCACAATTCCAGGCACCAACAATACAAAAAAGAATGTAAAGAAACAAACAGAAGAAACTAGAATGCTCAAACCAGTTTTATGCAATTCTGCAGTATGTTGTTTCTTCTCAAAAGAATGCAATTTTGCCTCAAGAAAGAATTCTTTTGAACTTCACAAAAACTAGCGCGAATCTTTCTTGAAAGAAGTACTTTTGATTGCTTGAATGATTGCAAAAGGATGTGTATCAGATATATTTTAAAATGATCAAGCAACTCTGTTTATATAGAAGATTTTCAAAACTGCTGGTTTAATTAATCTGTTAAAATAATCTTTTAATCTGTTAAAAACCTTGTTTTAATCTGTTAAAACTTCTTTTAATCCATTAAAACGTTCTTAATTATTTTCCAGATTTGTTTTAACTGATACGACAACGTTTATATCAATTAAAACTCTTTGCAAAAAATCTTCTAATTTGATTTAATCGATTTTTTCGTGTTTCAATCGATTAAAATACTGCAAAACTTTCTTGTAAACTTTTCCAAGTGATTTTAACTGATAAAAATATGTTTTAATCGATTAAAACGCTTAGTACAAATTTCCTTAAGTTGTTTTAATAGATTGAAACGTGATTTAATCGATTAAAATAATTCTGATCGGTCATAACTCAATTCTGATCGATCATATCTGATTCTGATCGGTTATAAACGCATTCTGATCGGTCATACTGTACTCTAAGTGGTTTTAATCGATTGTTTCAAAGTTATATCGATTAAAATACTGCCAAAACACTTCTCTGAATATTTTGAGTGATTTTAATCGGTTATTTCAAAGCTGTATCAGTTAAAATACTGACAGAAGGTTTTCAAAACTTTCTTTAATGAAAACAATCGGTTATTTCGAAATTATATCAGTTAAAAACCTTTTTATAAAAATGTGAAGAACATTTTAGTTGATAGAACATATATGCTATTAGTTAAAAATAGTTAATTCAAAAGCTTTTATCAAAATACTTTGCTTTTAACTATTTAAACGTTTTTAGAGGCATTTTGCAAAATCTTTTAAGTGAAGAAACCTCATGCAGCAAAAAAGATAAAAATGATTATACCTAAGCAGAGCTGCAGACACACTAATCCCTCTATTCTTTTATCTAAGTGACTTTTGACTGCCACAAAGTTTCCTTTGACTTCATTCTTGACTTCATCAAATAAACAAAATCTTTGCCAGAGTATTTCAATAAGATCTTCATCACTTTCATAAAATTGACAATCGATGACCTATATGTGGAGGAGATGGTCATTTTGAAGATATCCATTGTCTTTTGGGAGAAATATGTGTTGTTGATTTAAGACCATACTGCTCATGCAACTATCTTTGGACTTGGTTATCTAGTACATTTGAAAGGATTAGTTTCTTCAAGGAGAATCGGAAGACTGTATGGACAACTATTACAACAAAGCTACATATGAAGAAGGATTATGACTAGAAGATTTGTACAAATAATGAATATATTACTTTTTAATGTTGTAGAATTAAATTTCACTCCACTGGTTTTTTATTTCTTTTAATGATAGACAAAAATTATCTTAAAACAACCTATCATATAATAGTTATTGATTTATTAACGTCTTCCCTACTCCTAAAATTAAACTAAACTAATATAAAACATTTAAATATAATTTGGATCTTGTAATTTTACCAAATTCAATTTTGGAACCATACAATTTTTATTTCTTTGTAATTTTAAAATAATTCATCTTTAGTTTTTTTAAATATTTTTCCGTACAAATAAATCTTAACCAAAAGCGATGATAAAGAACAAAATCTAAAGCACACATTTGTTATAAAATAAAATATATTAGAAATTAAAATCGTATAAAATTAAAACAGTAGGTGTAACATATAAAATAAAATTTTGGTTGATATTTAGAAATATTTACGTATAATTTTGTTGAAGTTATTAAGAGATTATTATATTGGTTTGTAAAATAATTTATTTTTTACAAATGATTAAAATTATAAACATCCCAAGAGCCATCATGCTTTGGTTGGGATGGGGTAGCTTTTCCTCATGTTCTTTTGCATTGCTTCTAGTTAAGATGCCCATAGAAATTCTTTAGATATTTTTGGCTCTTTTCTTGCTCCTTGGTTAATCCCCAATGTAGAATGAAGGTTACTGAGGGAACAAAGCGTCAACACACGACGAAACTAATCCCTCACATTTCACCTACTTTGAAAACAAAGGGTACTTTCTTTAGAAAAAGTCAAAATGATGATGTATAACTTAAAATGACCACACAATGTGTACTTCAATCCTAAAAGAAAGTAATTATGTGGTATTCAGTTAGTTAAATCATCGCTTAAAAATTTAACAATGGGGACAACAATCGTAAAATTTATAATGAAAACTAAAACAAATTAAAGGGACCAAAATCAACTAAACGAGATCAAAATAAACACACAACAGTTTTTGGGGTATGAAATAATTAATTAAGTTTTTTTTTTAAATGATGATAACCTATTTATTAATTTGATATTTGGGAACATTTTCTTCATCATCATTATCATAACTATTGTCTATCTCCACTTGCATTGCCGTAATCATTATTGTTATTACCATAACTTCTATTGTTATTATTACCATAGTCATTGATATCATAAGTATTATGTTCGTTATCATGGTCACCAATATCATAATGATTGTCATTATCACCATTACTTACACCACCACTGCTAAGAAAACTATATTTATCAAGTATCACCATTATTGCTAATATCATTATTAACACTAACATCAATGTTGACAATGTGTCTACCATATAAATATACCGTAACTTTAACTTGATATAAAATTTTGAATTATAAAATTAAAAAAGAAATAAAGTTTTGAAACCAAAATTTATTCTCTATTAAAAACAAAAATATGGTGGTAGTTTCTACAAATTTTGAAACTTACTACAAAACATAATCCCCAACAAATTTTATTGTGTGTTTTGATTTGAATTTTCTCAAATCAAACTCATTTTAAAGTTTAACTTAATTCACCATTTTCACTTCATGTCTATTTATATATTGGAAAGTACAATTTTTCCATTCAATATCATTTCAACGTATGTCTAACCATACCCATAGTCTTTTACATATTTAGTGTTTGTTAAATAGCAATGTGTTTTGAATAAGCGTCAAATATTTTGACCAACTATTTATTCAAATAACTCAACATTAAATTTAAGGAAAAAATCAAAACAAATTCAAGCATTACTATAAAATGATAAATAATCAAATAAATAAATACGATTCACGTAATTACAATGAGATTATGTGAAAAATGATAGAGATTTTGTTGGCTCATTTAAATGAAAATATTGGTGAATTTAATTTCAAGGCATGACCATATGAGGATGTCCATCGATGATCGGTATCATTTGGAATGAACCTAGTCCAAAACCAGTGTGATTTCCATACTCTATTCATTTCTTCAATTCGGACGTTCCTTGTCTCGGGTAGGAACAAGGCGACAAAAATGGTCATGATAAGCACAAATCCAGCAAAGAAGAAGAAAAGGCCAAACTTCAAGTGACACAGCATGGTTAGGAAAATTTGAGCAATGACAAAGGTGAACAACATGTTTACAGCAACATTGGTGCTTTGACCTGCCGATCGAACCTCAAGAGAACATATTTCACTTGGAACCAACCACCCTAGTGGACCCCAAGACCATGCATATGCTGCAACATATGCACATATAAAGAATAAGAGGAGACTAGCTTCTCCATTGGTAAATGAGCCTTCACCGCTCACTCCAAACTTCATAGCAATCATGGTTCCAACAGCAAGCTACAAACAATTATTATGGCCTTCGAATTAGTTGTTCATGCTAAAAAATTGACTTAACCAAAGTGATAAAAATGTTATTTTTTTTTAAATATTAAAATAGCAAGCATTGTCTATTGATTAAGTTAAGGTTTTTACCTGACAAACAAGCATTTGAATACCACCTTCGAGGAACAATATCCTTCTTCCAAACTTGTCCACAGAGAAAATGGAAACAACAGTGGCAACCACATTAACACCTCCGGTGATAACGGAAGACATAAGGGAAGTATCGCTTCCAAAGCCTAAAGTTTTAAAGAGGACGGGTGCATAAAACATTATGACATTGATACCGGTGAATTGTTGGAAGAATGGAATCGAGAGAGCAAAAAGTGAGTTGAGGCCTATATTTTGGTTGTATAATGTTCTTCCATGGGTGTTCCACATCTTTGGTCGCTTTAGTCGCATCAACGAGCTCTTGGAACTCCTCATCGACATTATCAACGCCACGAATCCTTTGCAACATTTTCTTAGCTGCTTCTATTTTACCTCTTTCAACCAGAGAGTTTGGTGTGTCACCTAAGAAAAGAGATCCTACACATAGCATTATTGCGGGGACTGCACCAATACCTAAAGAAATTCTCCAACCATATTCTAGTTTTGCAGTCCCATAGTTGATAAGGTTTGCAATTAATATGCCAATTGTGATCATCATTTGAAAACCAATGTTGAGTGCACCTCTTATCGTTGTTGGGGCCATTTCAGACAAATACACAGGTACAGACTATTGGAAATAATAATAATAATAATAAAAGAAAACATTTTAAAATAGGTAATCATGAAAAATTATCTACATTTATAATAAAACTTGAAAGCATTGAAAATGATATGAAGTCTCACCTGATTACAATATCCAACACCAAAACCAAGCAATAAACGACCTATGATAAGCATCTCAATATTGATGGCAAAACCATTCAACAAAGCACCAACAAGGAAAAACAAACCACCTACAAACATTGAGGTCTTGCGTCCCATCATTCTTGTGGTGGTGGAAGCACAGAAAGAAGCTACTAATGCGAGCAAGATATAATGAAGAGGTGAACAAAGTAAGGAGCTCATTGTCAAATTTGCAATATTGGCTTTCGTGGTTAGATTCGTCTTGCATTTGTTTATAAACACTAGGAAAGAATTTTATTAGGAAAGGTTCCATGGAAGTCACTCCTCCCGTGATCCCAAGATCATAACCAAAGAGTAAACCACCCATGGCTGCTACAAAACACGTGACCAACACAAACGTTGTGATCTTACCCTCATATTGTCTTCCGTTTTCTAGAGTAACTAAAGCTCCACCCGCCATCTTTCCAAATTTTATATCTTAAGTGAATATGTTTGCTTGTCTTAGCATTCCCTTCCTTTTCTACATATTAGAGGTGAAGTAATAATTTGTTTTTATAATCTCAAACATGTTATTGATAGCATCTAACAGATAAGAATGTGCATATAATAATGAAATAACTTCTCTAACAATATTATATATTTTTAAGTCATTTTATTATCTATCATGCTATAAATATCCTAACTTACGTGTTTTGCTTCTTTTCGTTAGAACAAATATCTTTGTATTAAGAATTTGAGATAAGAACTAAGCTGTTTGATAGCTACACATCACCTTGATAATCATTAATTTTGGAACTATATTAGATTTCGACCAATAATCAATGATATAATCAATTCATAATTCAAATAATTTTCATTAACAGATTAATTTATACGTTTATCTATTGCATTGATAAATATATTATAAAACAATAAGCCAATATTGACTGCTTCAATTTTATTTTTTTTTGGCCAAATAAATGTTGCATTTTCATTTTCTTCCTTTTTATTTATTTATTTTCGTTTTCTACTCGCATATATAAATAATTTAGTTGTGGTTCATGCCATTAATTCATGGTTAATTGATGACATGGCTAACAGAGTCCCACATCATCATTTCGATGTAGGATTAATGTTCTCATTGTGTCCTCTTCAAATAGAACATCCTTTTTTTATCAGAAGTAGGTGAAATGTTAGAGATTGTATTCAACATGTGTTCACTCTCTTTATCCTTAGCGATCTTCATCATCAATTGGTGTTACGGGACAATGTTATTATTCAAGGTTAGTGCTGGAAGTTGTTGTTGGTTGTGGTTAAATGAGTCCACTAGCCATTGACTTATCATAGTTGTTATTCTATTTGCTATAAGGATCGAGTATTGGAAGAGGACTCGTTAATAAAAATTTTGGTTCCACTATAGTAGATGAGGTCTTTCTCTAGAATATTCTATAACTTTAAAATATCTTGATTGTGTCTATGTGTTTGTGGTCGATCGTACTGTAACCGCTCTCCGCACTCCCTTTCGAGAGGATGAGTCTGAAGATGAAAGTTAACAAAGTAAAATGTTACATCATTCCTAATCCTCTTAATGGATTAGATATAGAGAAGGATAAAATTGACAATCGATGACCTATATGTGGAGGAGATGGTCATTTTGAAGATATCCATTGTCTTTTGGGAGAAATATGTGTTGTTGATTTAAGACCATACTGCTCATGCAACTATCTTTGGACTTGGTTATCTAGTACATTTGAAAGGATTAGTTTCTTCAAGGAGAATCGGAAGACTCGTATGGACAACTATTACAACAAAGCTACATATGAAGAAGGATTATGACTAGAAGATTTGTACAAATAATGAATATATTACTTTTTAATGTCGTAGAATTAAATTTCACTCCACTGGTTTTTTATTTCTTTTAATGATAGACAAAAATTATCTTAAAACAACCTATCATATAATAGTTATTTATTTATTAACGTCTTCCCTACTCCTAAAATTAAACTAAACTAATATAAAACGTTTAAATATAATTTGGATCTTGTAATTTTACCAAATTCAATTTTGGAACCATACAATTTTTATTTCTTTGTAATTTTAAAATAATTCATCTTTAGTTTTTTTAAATATTTTTCCGTACAAATAAATCTTAACCAAAAGCGATGATAAAGAACAAAATCTAAAGCACACATTTTTTATAAAATAAAATATATTAGAAATTAAAATCGTATTAAATTAAAACAAGTAGGTGTAACATATAAAATAAAATTTTGGTTGATATTTAGAAATATTTACGTATAATTTTGTTGAAGTTATTAAGAGATTATTATATTGGTTTGTAAAATAATTTATTTTTTACAAATGATTAAAATTCTAAACATCCCAAGAGCCATCATGCTTTGGTTGGGTTCGGGTAGCTTTTCCTCATGTTCTTTTCCATTGCTTCTAGTTAAGATGCCCATAGAAATTCTTTAGATATTTTTGGCTCTTTTCTTGCTCCTTGATTAATCCCCAATGTAGAACGAAGGTTACTGAGGGAACAAAGCGTCAACACACGACGAAACTAATCCCTCACATTTCACCTACTTTGAAAACAAAGGGTACTTTCTTTAGAAAAAGTCAAAATGATGATGTATAACTTAAAATGACCACACAATGTGTACTTCAATCCTAAAAGAAAGTAATTATGTGGTACTCAGTTAGTTAAATCATCGCTTAAAAATTTAACAATGGGGACAACAATCGTAAAATTTATAATGAAAACTAAAACAAATTAAAGGGACCAAAATCAACTAAACGAGATCAAAATAAACACACAACAGCTTTTGGGGTATGAAATAATTAATTAAGTTTTTTTTTTAAATGATGATAACCTATTTATTAATTTGATATTTGGGAACATTTTCTTCATCGTCATTATCATAACTATTGTCTATCTCCACTTGCATTGCCGTAATCATTATTGTTATTACCATAACTTCTATTGTTATTATTACCATAGTCATTGATATCATAAGTATTATGTTCGCTATCATGGTCACCAATATCATAATGATTGTCATTATCACCATTACTTACACCACCACTGCTAAGAAAACTATATTTATCAGTATCACCATTATTGCTAATATCATTATTAACACTAACATCAATGTTGACAATGTGTCTACCATATAAATATACCGTAACTTTAACTTGATATAAAATTTTGAATTATAAAATTAAAAAAGAAATAAAGTTTTGAAACCAAAATTTATTCTCTATTAAAAACAAAAATATGGTGGTAGTTTCTACAAATTTTGAAACTTACTACAAAACATAATCCCCAACAAATTTTATTGTGTGTTTTGATTTGAATTTTCTCAAATCAAACTCATTTTAAAGTTTAACTTAATTCACCATTTTCACTTCATGTCTATTTATATATTGGAAAGTACAATTTTTCCATTCAATATCATTTCAACGTATGTCTAACCATACCCATAGTCTTTTACATATTTAGTGTTTGTTAAATAGCAATGTGTTTTGAATAAGCGTCAAATATTTTGACCAACTATTTATTCAAATAACTCAACATTAAATTTAAGGAAAAAATCAAAACAAATTCAAGCATTACTATAAAATGATAAATAATCAAATAAATAAATACGATTCACGTAATTACAATGAGATTATGTGAAAAATGATAGAGATTTTGTTGGCTCATTTAAATGAAAATATTGGTGAATTTAATTTCAAGGCATGACCATATGAGGATGTCCATCGATGACGGTATCATTTGGAATGAACCTAGTCCAAAACCAGTGTGATTTCCATACTCTATTCATTTCTTCAATTCGGACGTTCCTTGTCTCGGGTAGGAACAAGGCGACAAAAATGGTCATGATAAGCACAAATCCAGCAAAGAAGAAGAAAAGGCCAAACTTCAAGTGACACAGCATGGTTAGGAAAATTTGAGCAATGACAAAGGTGAACAACATGTTTACAGCAACATTGGTGCTTTGACCTGCCGATCGAACCTCAAGAGAACATATTTCACTTGGAACCAACCACCCTAGTGGACCCCAAGACCATGCATATGCTGCAACATATGCACATATAAAGAATAAGAGGAGACTAGCTTCTCCATTGGTAAATGAGCCTTCACCGCTCACTCCAAACTTCATAGCAATCATGGTTCCAACAGCAAGCTACAAACAATTATTATGGCCTTTGAATTAGTTGTTCATGCTAAAAAATTGACTTAACCAAAGTGATAAAAATGTTATTTTTTTTAAATATTAAAATAGCAAGCATTGTCTATTGATTAAGTTAAGGTTTTTACCTGACAAACAAGCATTTGAATACCACCTTCGAGGAACAATATCCTTCTTCCAAACTTGTCCACAGAGAAAATGGAAACAACAGTGGCAACCACATTAACACCTCCGGTGATAACGGAAGACATAAGGGAAGTATCGCTTCCAAAGCCTAAAGTTTTAAAGAGGACGGGTGCATAAAACATTATGACATTGATACCGGTGAATTGTTGGAAGAATGGAATCAGAGAGCAAAAAGTGAGTTGAGGCCTATATTTTGGTTGTATAATGTTCTTCCATGGGTGTTCCACATCTTTGGCTGCTTTAGTCGCATCAACAAGCTCTTGGAACTCCTCATCGACATTATCAACGCCACGAATCCTTTGCAACATTTTCTTAGCTGCTTCTATTTTACCTCTTTCAACCAGAGAGTTTGGTGTGTCACCTAAGAAAAGAGATCCTACACATAGCATTATTGCGGGGACTGCACCAATACCTAAAGAAATTCTCCAACCATATTCTAGTTTTGCAGTCCCATAGTTGATAAGGTTTGCAATTAATATGCCAATTGTGATCATCATTTGAAATCCAATGTTGAGTGCACCTCTTATCGTTGTTGGGGCCATTTCGAACAAATACACAGTACGAGACTATTGGAAATAATAATAATAATAATAAAAGAAAACATTTTAAAATAGGTAATCATGAAAAATTATCTACATTTATAATAAAACTTGAAAGCATTGAAAATGATATGAAGTCTCACCCGATTACAATATCCAACACTAAAACCAAGCAATAAACGACCTATGATAAGCATCTCAATATTGATGGCAAAACCATTCAACAAAGCACCAACAAGGAAAAACAAACCACCTACAAACATTGAGGTCTTGCGTCCCATCATTCTTGTGGTGGTGGAAGCACAGAAAGAAGCTACTAATGCAGCAAGATATAATGAAGAGGTGAACAAAGTAAGGAGCTCATTGTCAAATTTGCAATATTGGCTTTCGTGGTTAGATTCGTCTTGCATTTGTTTATAAACACTAGGAAAGAATTTTATCAGGAAAGGTTCCATGGAAGTCACTCCTCCCGTGATCCCAAGATCATAACCAAAGAGTAAACCACCCATGGCTGCTACAAAACACGTGACCAACACAAACGTTGTGATCTTACCCTCATATTGTCTTCCGTTTTCTAGAGTAACTAAAGCTCCACCCGCCATCTTTCCAAATTTTATATCTTAAGTGAATATGTTTGCTTGTCTTAGCATTCCCTTCCTTTTCACAATATTAGAGGTGAAGTAATAATTTGTTTTTATAATCTCAAACATGTTATTGATAGCATCTAACAGATAAGAATGTGCATATAATAATGAAATAACTTCTCTAACAATATTATATATTTTTAAGTCATTTTATTATCTATCATGCTATAAATATCCTAACTTACGTGTTTTGCTTCTTTTCGTTAGAACAAATATCTTTGTATTAAGAATTTGAGATAAGAACTAACTGTTTGATAGCTACACATCACCTTGATAATCATTAATTTTGGAACTATATTAGATTTCGACCAATAATCAATGATATAATCAATTCATAATTCAAATAATTTTCATTAACAAGATTAATTTATACGTTTATCTATTGCATTGATAAATATATTATAAAACAATAAGCCAATATTGACTCGCTTCAATTTTATTTTTTTTTGGCCAAATAAATGTTGCATTTTCATTTTCTTCCTTTTTATTTATTTATTTTCGTTTTCTACTCGCATATATAAATAATTTAGTTGTGGTTCATGCCATTAATTCATGGTTAATTGATGACATGGCTAACGAGTCCCACATCATCATTTCGATGTAGGATTAATGTTCTCATTGTGTCCTCTTCAAATAGAACATCCTTTTTTTATCAGAAGTAGGTGAAATGTTAGAGATTGTATTCAACATGTGTTCACTCTCTTTATCCTTAGCGATCTTCATCATCAATTGGTGTTACGGGACAATGTTATTATTCAAGGTTAGCGCTGGAAGTTGTTGTTGGTTGTGGTTAAATGAGTCCACTAGCCATTGACTTATCATAGCTGTTATTCTATTTGCTATAAGGATCTATTGGAAGAGGACTCGTTAATAAAAATTTTGGTACCACTATAGTAGATGAGGTCTTTCTCTAGAATATTCTATAACTTTAAAATATCTTGATTGTGTCTATGTGTTTGTGGTCGACTGTACTGTAACCGCTCTCCCCACTCCCTTTCGAGAGGATGAGTCTGAAGATGAAAGTTAACAAAGTAAAATGTTACATCATTCCTAATCCTCTTAATGGATTAGATATAGAGAAGGATAAAATTGACAATCGATGACCTATATGTGGAGGAGATGGTCATTTTGAAGATATCCATTGTCTTTTGGGAGAAATATGTGTTGTTGATTTAAGACCATACTGCTCATGCAACTATCTTTGGACTTGGTTATCTAGTACATCTGAAAGGATTAGTTTCTTCAAGAAGAATCGGAAGACTGTATGGGCAAGTATTACAACAAAGCTACATATGAAGAAGGATTATGACTAGAAGATTTGTACAAATAATGAATATATTACTTTTTAAACTTGTAGAATTAAATTTCACTCCACTCGGTTTTTTATTTCTTTTAATGATAGACAAAAATTATCTTAAAACAACCTATCATATAATAGTTATTTATTTATTAACGTCTTCCCTACTCCTAAAATTAAACTAAACTAATATAAAACGTTTAAATATAATTTGGATCTTGTAATTTTACCAAATTCAATTTTGGAACCATACAATTTTTATTTCTTTGTAATTTTAAAATAATTCATCTTTAGTTTTTTTAAATATTTTTCCGTACAAATAAATCTTAACCAAAAGCGATGATAAAGAACAAAATCTAAAGCACACATTTTTTATAAAATAAAATATATTAGAAATTAAAATCGTATTAAATTAAAACAAGTAGGTGTAACATATAAAATAAAATTTTGGTTGATATTTAGAAATATTTACGTATAATTTTGTTGAAGTTATTAAGAGATTATTATATTGGTTTGTAAAATAATTTATTTTTTACAAATGATTAAAATTCTAAACATCCCAAGAGCCATCATGCTTTGGTTGGGTTGGGGTAGCTTTTCCTCATGTTCTTTTCCATTGCTTCTAGTTAAGATGCCCATAGAAATTCTTTAGATATTTTTGGCTCTTTTCTTGCTCCTTGATTAATCCCCAATGTAGAATGAAGGTTACTGAGGGAACAAAGCGTCAACACACGACGAAACTAATCCCTCACATTTCACCTACTTTGAAAACAAATGGTACTTTCTTTAGAAAAAGTCAAAATGATGATGTATAACTTAAAATGACCACACAATGTGTACTTCAATCCTAAAAGAAAGTAATTATGTGGTACTCAGTTAGTTAAATCATCGCTTAAAAATTTAACAATGGGGACAACAATCGTAAAATTTATAATGAAAACTAAAACAAATTAAAGGGACCAAAATCAACTAAACGAGATCAAAATAAACACACAACAGTTTTTGGGGTATGAAATAATTAATTAAGTTTTTTTTTTAAAATGATGATAACCTATTTATTAATTTGATATTTGGGAACATTTTCTTCATCTTCATTATCATAACTATTGTTTATCTCCACTTGCATTGCCGTAATCATTATTGTTATTACCATAACTTCTATTGTTATTATTACCATAGTCATTGATATCATAAGTATTATGTTCGCTATCATGGTCACCAATATCATAATGATTGTCATTATCACCATTACTTACACCACCACTGCTAAGAAAACTATATTTATCAAGTATCACCATTATTGCTAATATCATTATTAACACTAACATCAATGTTGACAATGTGTCTACCATATAAATATACCGTAACTTTAACTTGATATAAAATTTTGAATTATAAAATTAAAAAAGAAATAAAGTTTTGAAACCAAAATTTATTCTCTATTAAAAACAAAAATATGGTGGTAGTTTCTACAAATTTTGAAACTTACTACAAAACATAATCCCCAACAAATTTTATTGTGTGTTTTGATTTGAATTTTCTCTAATCAAACTCATTTTAAAGTTTAACTTAATTCACCATTTTCACTTCATGTCTATTTATATATTGGAAAGTACAATTTTTCCATTCAATATCATTTCAACGTATGTCTAACCATACCGATAGTCTTTTACATATTTAGTGTTTGTTAAATAGCAATGTGTTTTGAATAAGCGTCAAATATTTTGACCAACTATTTATTCAAATAACTCAACATTAAATTTAAGGAAAAAATCAAAACAAATTCAAGCATTACTATAAAATGATAAATAATCAAATAAATAAATACGATTCACGTAATTACAATGAGATTATGTGAAAAATGATAGAGATTTTGTTGGCTCATTTAAATGAAAATATTGGTGAATTTAATTTCAAGGCATGACCATATGAGGATGTCCATCGATGACGGTATCATTTGGAATGAACCTAGTCCAAAACCAGTGTGATTTCCATACTCTATTCATTTCTTCAATTCGGACGTTCCTTGTCTCGGGTAGGAACAAGGCGACAAAAATGGTCATGATAAGCACAAATCCAGCAAAGAAGAAGAAAAGGCCAAACTTCAAGTGACACAGCATGGTTAGGAAAATTTGAGCAATGACAAAGGTGAACAACACGTTTACAGCAACATTGGTGCTTTGACCTGCCGATCGAACCTCAAGAGAACATATTTCACTTGGAACCAACCACCCTAGTGGACCCCAAGACCATGCATATGCTGCAACATATGCACATATAAAGAATAAGAGGAGACTAGCTTCTCCATTGGTAAATGAGCCTTCACCGCTCACTCCAAACTTCATAGCAATCATGGTTCCAACAACAAGCTACAAACAATTATTATGGCCTTCGAATTAGTTGTTCATGCTAAAAAATTGACTTAACCAAAGTGATAAAAATGTTATTTTTTTTAAATATTAAAATAGCAAGCATTGTCTATTGATTAAGTTAAGGTTTTTACCCGACAAACAAGCATTTGAATACCACCTTCGAGGAACAATATCCTTCTTCCAAACTTGTCCACAGAGAAAATGGAAACAACAGTGGCAACCACATTAACACCTCCGATGATAACGGAAGACATAAGGGAAGTATCGCTTCCAAAGCCTAAAGTTTTAAAGAGGACGGGTGCATAAAACATTATGACATTGATACCGGTGAATTGTTGGAAGAATGGAATCAGAGAGCAAAAAGTGAGTGAGGCCTATATTTTGGTTGTATAATGTTCTTCCATGGGTGTTCCACATCTTTGGCTGCTTTAGTCGCATCAACGAGCTCTTCGAACTCCTCATTGACATTATCAACGCCACGAATCCTTTGCAACATTTTCTTAGCTGCTTCTATTTTACCTCTTTCAACCAGAGAGTTTGGTGTGTCACCTAAGAAAAGAGATCCTACACATAGCATTATTGCGGGGACTGCACCAATACCTAAAGAAATTCTCCAACCATATTCTAGTTTTGCAGTCCCATAGTTGATAAGGTTTGCAATTAATATGCCAATTGTGATCATCATTTGAAATCCAATGTTGAGTGCACCTCTTATCGTTGTTGGGGCCATTTCGGACAAATACACAGGTACGAGACTATTGGAAATAATAATAATAATAATAATAAAAGAAAACATTTTAAAATAGGTAATCATGAAAAATTATCTACATTTATAATAAAACTTGAAAGCATTGAAAATGATATGAAGTCTCACCTGATTACAATATCCAACACCAAAACCAAGCAATAAACGACCTATGATAAGCATCTCAATATTGATGGCAAAACCATTCAACAAAGCACCAACAAGGAAAAACAAACCACCTACAAACATTGAGGTCTTGCGTCCCATCATTCTTGTGGTGGTGGAAGCACAGAAAGAAGCTACTAATGCAGCAAGATATAATGAAGAGGTGAACAAAGTAAGGAGCTCATTGTCAAATTTGCAATATTGGCTTTCGTGGTTAGATTCATCTTGCATTTGTTTATAAACACTAGGAAAGAATTTTATTAGGAAAGGTTCCATGGAAGTCACTCCTCTCGTGATCCCAAGATCATAACCAAAGATTAAATCACCCATGGCTGCTACAAAACACGTGACCAACACAAACGTTGTGATCTTACCCTCATATTGTCTTCCGTTTTCTAGAGTAACTAAAGCTCCACCCGCCATCTTTCCAAATTTTATATCTTAAGTGAATATGTTTGCTTGTCTTAGCATTCCCTTCCTTTTCACAATATTAGAGGTGAAGTAATAATTTGTTTTTATAATCTCAAACATGTTATTGATAGCATCTAACAGATAAGAATGTGCATATAATAATGAAATAACTTCTCTAACAATATTATATATTTTTAAGTCATTTTATTATCTATCATGCTATAAATATCCTAACTAACTGTTTGATAGCTACACATCACCTTGATAATCATTAATTTTTGAACTATATTAGATTTCGACCAATAATCAATGATATAATCAATTCATAATTCAAATAATTTTCATTAACAGATTAATTTATACGTTTATCTATTGCATTGATAAATATATTATAAAACAATAAGCCAATATTGACTGCTTTAATTTTTTTTTTTTTGGGCCAAATAAATGTTGCATTTTCATTTTCTTCCTTTTTATTTATTTATTTTCGTTTTCTACTCGCATATATAAATAATTTAGTTGTGGTTCATGCCATTAATTCATGGTTAATTGATGACATGGCTAACAGAGTCCCACATCATCATTTCGATGTAGGATTAATGTTCTCATTGTGTCCTCTTCAAATAGAACATCCTTTTTTTATCAGAAGTAGGTGAAATGTTAGAGATTGTATTCAACATGTGTTCACTCTCTTTATCCTTAGCGATCTTCATCATCAATTGGTGTTACGGGACAATGTTATTATTCAAGGTTAGTGCTGGAAGTTGTTGTTGGTTGTTGTTAAATGAGTCCACTAGCCATTGACTTATCATAGCTGTTATTCTATTTGCTATAAGGATCTATTGGAAGAGGACTCGTTAATAAAATTTTTGGTACCACTATAGTAGATGAGGTCTTTCTCTAGAATATTCTATAACTTTAAAATATCTTGATTGTGTCTATGTGTTTGTGGTCGACTGTACTGTAACCGCTCTCCCCACTCCCTTTCGAGAGGATGAGTCTGAAGATGAAAGTTAACAAAGTAAAATGTTACATCATTCCTAATCCTCTTAATGGATTAGATATAGAGAAGGATAAAATTGACAATCGATGACCTATATGTGGAGGAGATGGTCATTTTGAAGATATCCATTGTCTTTTGGGAGAAATATGTGTTGTTGATTTAAGACCATATTGCTCATGCAACTATATTTGGACTTGGTTATCTAGTACATCTGAAAGGATTAGTTTCTTCAAGAAAAATCGGAAGACTGTATGGGCAAGTATTACAACAAAGCTACATATGAAGAAGAATTATGACTAGAAGATTTGTACAAATAATGAATATATTACTTTTTAATGTTGTAGAATTAAATTTCACTCCACTGGTTTTTTATTTCTTTTAATGATAGACAAAAATTATCTTAAAACAACCTATCATATATAATAGTTATTTATTTATTAATGTCTTCCCTACTCCTAAAATTAAACTAAACTAATATAAAACGTTTAAATATAATTTGGATCTTGTAATTTTACCAAATTCAATTTTGGAACCATACAATTTTTATTTCTTTGTAATTTTAAAATAATTCATCTTTAGTTTTTTTAAATATTTTTCCGTACAAATAAATCTTAACCAAAAGCGATGATAAAGAACAAAATCTAAAGCACACATTTTTTATAAAATAAAATATATTAGAAATTAAAATCGTATTAAATTAAAACAGTAGGTGTAACAGTAGGTGCCACAAAGTTGCCTTTGACTTCATTCTTGACTTCATCAAATCAACAAGATCTTTGCCAGAGTATTTCAATATGATCTTCATCACTTTCAGGCTAGGGTTAGGCTTAGGTGTTTAGGTTTCGTCTAAGCAAACGTTTTTTCCCCTCTCTTTTCTTTTATTTGCGCCTTTTAGTTTTATTTCCATTGCTTTTAATGGCTAGCTGATTTCCCTAGATCGCCCTTCGGGTTTTCAAACTAGGATATTGTGTTTTGGCGCTAACTTTTGTCTAGGTTCCCTCTTTTTGTATTTTTTGGAGAATCCTAGCGGACCCTATTTTGTAACCCTAACTTTTTCCTAGGCTACCCTTTATTTTTGTTCGGGTGTCCTACCGGGTCGACCCAATCTTTGGTGTAGCCCCCTTAGTGGGTTTCCTACCGGGTATTTTGCCCTTTTCTTTTTGGCCTTTGGATTCTATGGGCTTTTTTTTGTGTAATTTATTTTTTGTTCACAATACTGGCGAAGCATGACTTTCTTTTATGGTGAGGTAAAGCCTTATTTTTTGTGCTTCTAATCAACTAGCTTGATGGCAATGGCGAATGTTGATTATTCGGATGCGCTTTTTATTCTCCTTCTTTTTTCGTTTTCTTAGACAGGGTTATTTATGTGGTCTAGTCAGAAATAGAAAGAAGAAAAACAGATAGTAAGAAGTATTCTTTATTAATTAATAAGGGAATATGTGCCCTAAAATGCCCGGGTGTCGGGCTCGCCCCGGGGGATAATCTCTAACAATCATGGGGTTTACATCCCTTAAATGAAGAAAAAGATCTCCTAATGACTAGGGTAGCTCTTGACGCTTGCACCCCTCCACTTCGGAAAATTTGCTTGAGTGTGCGGAGGGGAGACTTCCCTTTTCTTCTTTCCGTTCGCCCCTTAGTAGGGTCATATCCTAGGCCATACTTGAAAGGATTGTCTTTGAATTCTGGGGGTTCCCTCATGCCTTGGGAATTTGCCCCCAGTCCTTGGCCAGGATGGTAGTCATGCTTCAACATCATGCGGGGCTACCTTTGTGTTTTTGGGAAGTCGCTCTATACTGGCAATTTCGAGCGCTTGAAAAGATGTTTCAAGGGCCTCTTCAGCCGCATCCACATAAGGTTGGGTAGACGGTCCACTGATCAAAATGTCATCTTCTGCTTGGACCGTGACCAATTTGTCATCCACTATGAACTTGACTTTTTGGTGGAGCGTTGAAGGTACTGCCTTAGCGTCATGAATCCAAGGCCTGCCGAGGAGACAACTATATGCTGGAGTAATATCCATTACATGGAAATCGACGTTGAAGATAGTGGGTCCAACTTGAATTGGCAAATTAACATCTCCCACTACTTCTCGTTTTGATCCGTCGAAGGCTCGAACGATAGTGCTGCTTGGGTGCAGACGGGTCCCTTGGATAGTCAACTTGTCCAGTGTGCACTTGGGCATCACGTTCAAGGATGACCCATTATCCACAAGAACTCTGGCGATGAGGTACTCCTTGCACTTGACTGAGATATGCAAGGGCTTGTTGTGGTTTGACCCCTCGAGGGGGAGTTCTTCCTCTGTGAAGGTGAGGTGATCGCTTGCCATGATGTGACCGACGATCCTCTCAACCTTTTCTTAGGGGAGTAGACTCTTCCACTTCTAGTCATGCCCCCGATGCCGGCTATGTTCGTTATTTCTTCTTTTATTGGTGAAGATTCTTCGTATCTCCATGGTACAACTTTATTTGATTCGTAGGGGAAAGGACGTGGCATAAATAGTCGCACTGGCATCCTTGCCCCCTCTTCCTTATTCTTGAGGACCAACGATCGAGGCCTATTATCTTCTTGTGGCGAGTCGACCGTTGGGTAAGCTTTATTAGGAGTGGCTTTCTCTCCATTCTTCTGATTTAGAAGACGTGTCAATTAATCTTTCCTTTTTATTATCTTATTTATTAAAAGTGAAGGAGGGGAAATTAAATATGCAAATGAATGATATGCATGCAAGTAGACAATTGTAGAATAAAGAAGAATTTCATTTATCCGTTAGAAGGTGTACATTCCCCTACTCCATACTACGAAGCAACTTTTGGCAAAAACGGAAAAGCCTAAAGAAACCCACAGGCGGTTCTTGATCTCTATGTAATTCCCTTTTGGCTTCCCGGACGTGATGAGCAAGTGTTTCGCTCTGCTTCTGGACCGTCTGGCTCATATCTTCACTGTACTTTTGAGCCTCTTTAATCTTCGCTTCTTGATGGACGACCAAGGCTTGCAGTTCATCGAGCTTTGCAACGGCTCGGTCTTTCTCTTGTAGTACTTGCTCGTACTGAGCTAACCCGTCTCTTTCTTTACAGCGTAGCTCAGTGAGACTTCTGTTGAGTCTCTGGTTGGCCTCTCGCTCTTGGCGTATGTCTGACCGAGTCTTGGTGAGTTCCTGCATTAACTCCTTGATCGTTTGAGCCTGTTTTGCTGATTCGGCTTCAAGGTATGCTGATTTGGCGGTTATTTCTTGAAGTTGACTATCCGAGCTGGTTCTGGTAGTTTTGGATGCTCGGATAGCTTGCTCGTTAGAGTCAGCACACTGATCCTTGAGGCGCTCTATTTCATGATCTGTTTTCTTGCATTGCCTTTGCAGACCATCTATGGTGAGGATAGATTCTTGCTCTTTTTCTTCAAGGGCCCTCATCTGGGCTCCCATGATTTCTATCCTCTGGGTCAAGGCGTCGACTTGAGCCTGCAGCTCTTCACCATTGGTCCTTGTAATGAGTGTGGTGGATGGTTGAGACATCCCTCTTCTTTGTTTCCACGCCTCGTAGTCACTGGAGACAGTCACTCGAGCTTTTCCTAACTCTCTATCTCCCATATAGACTGGTCTCTCCCATGCTTTTCTCACGGCTGGTGAGTTGGCGATTGTGCATGGGTTTTCGAAGAAACACAGTCCTCCGAGTTCCCCCCGAGAAATGGTAGTTTGAGTCCTCATGAGCTGTCTCATAGCTACTCTAGGTGAGTAGGCTATGCAACCCCTGAGTCCTATCAAGGGTACGTTCGGATAGTCTCCACATCTGATGAGAACTGGGCCAGGTCGGAACCAAGGGCAGACCCAGGATAAACTGTTGGCGTCCTTTTGTTCCAACTCGTCTCTCCATTCTGAAGTTAAGCGTCGTTGGAGAGGGATTTTGGAGAAGCTCCTTAAAGGATC